GTAATCCTTACATGGCCATACACTTTTATTTCTCTTGGGTAAATTCCTAAGAGTAGAGTAGCAGGATCATATGGTAGATATTTCTTTTTAAGAAACTACCTAACAGTTTTCCAAAGTGGTCAAACCATTTAAATTCCCACCAACCCTGTATAAGAGTTCTAGTTCTTCCACATCCTTATCAACACTTGGTATGTCTATTTAATTTTAGCCATGGTAATAGGGGTGATGTGGTACCTTACTTGGGTTTTGATTTGCAGTTCCATAATGATAAATGTTGTTGAGCTTATTTGCCATTGATATATCTTCTTGTATCTGTTCAAATCTTTGCCCATTTTAAAATTGAATTTTTGAATGTTGAGAGTTCTTTACATATCATGGGTAGGATGTAAGTCCATTTTGTGCTACTATAACAGAATACCTGAGACTATGTAATTTATAAAGAATAGGAATTTATCTCACAGTCTGGTGACTGGGAAACCCAAGATCAAGACACAGCAGATTTATTCTCTGGTTCAAGCTGGCACCCTTGTTGCTGTGTCTTCAGAGTAGGAGAATTGTGTTCCTCATGTGGCTGATGCAAGACTCCTTACATGGGGTCAGAGCAATAGTAGGTAATACTGTTCTATGTGAAGAATAAAGGAGGAAACAAAAAGGTTCCAGTCAGTTGGAAAGATTCCCTTTAAAAAGCCTCCTCAGGAGGTTTGTGTGGGGCTGTGTCCCTGTCCACCCCAAAGTCCCCTTGGATCACCCGAAGAGGGATTGGGAGCTGGAGCAGTGAGCAGAATGAATACCTCACATGACCAGAGTGGCTGCTCCAGTAATAGAGAACCCCTTTTGAGGTATAGTAATGCATGGACGGACTTAGAGCTTGCTATCGGTGGAGTTCCCTGGGCCGAACAGCAAATTAAAGATAACTTGTGAAAAGTCAAAGCTTGGGTTCACAGTTGTATAAGCTGTCACCTGGAATGCCTTACAAACTGTGAGGTGGCTGTATGAACAGTTAGACCTCATCTATCAGCTTAAAGAGGAGATATTTCAGCCACAGGCCCAGCAGCTCTACTGGTTATTGGGCCAGTTCGATGGTCTTATTCATTAACTGAAGTGCACCCAAAACAAAGATCTAGCCAATCAAGTCTCTGTGTGCCTGGAGGGCCTGGGCAGTTTGACCCCTAAGTTTGAAGATTCAACAGTCCTGCTCTTTGAAGCAGACACAACTGCTCTGCATGACTATCACCACATTTGGGTTTCTCAAGACAATTCAAATTCCTTAGCACTTCATGCCTCATGCTAACTCATCAAATATTAGAGAAGAAAGGCTATATCCTAATGCCAGAGCAGAAGTCAGCATCCAGCATCACAGATGTCCCTCTAAGTGAATGGCTCCTTGGAAGCAACCATACCAGTGGTCTTCAGGAACAACCCCCCAGGACTGGCTCACCAAAAAGCAGACCTTGGAGAACGGACTTCTTCTAGAGCCTGCACTTTCTTCAGTAATGTCTCAGGCAACCTAAAGGGCTTTCAAAACTTGCTCCTCAAGAGTCAGCAACAAGAAGTTCCTGAAAAACCAAGTTACCCAAAGTGACAGCATTTTACTACCAGTTCCTTCTTCATTTAATTGAAAAGGTGGAAGATCTAGAGCTTTCTGATCAAGATGCGATGGATCTGGCTGGCTGGCTGGCTGGTGATTCCCCAGGAATCCCATAAGCTGGAGAAGCCTGAGAATGGCAGTTGTGAAACCAGTGATAAGTTTACATTCTTGTTCCAGTCCTACAATATGAATGACTGGCTTGTCAAAACCAACTCCTATATCAACTGTTGGGGCAACCAGCCCAGCAGTGTAGAGATTTTGAAAAACCTGGGTAATGTGAAGTGCCTTAATGACTACTTGGAGGCCAAGAAACCGTTGTCTATCCTCAGCATCATTTCTGAGGATTGACTTGCCCAGAACCATCAGGACCCATATAAAGTAAAGGACATATGCAAAGTCAATGAGCCCTGCAAAAGTTTTTCAGAGTGTATGATGAGAATTGAGAAGGAAGCTCTGTGTAAGTGACTTCTAAAGAAAGATGGACAAAAAAATGGGATGCCTGTGGAACCCAAACCTGAACCTGAGAAGCATCGATTCTCTGAATATGTGACCCTGTCCTTCAAGAAAAGAACAAGCTAAGGCATCAAAGGCAATGGCTCCTTCTAGAATTGCTGATTCCAAGTCATAAACAACAGTCCCTTGTCAGAGTGGCTCATTGGGCCCCCACATAAGGAAGGAAGTCCCAAGGAAGTGCCTAGTACTGAGGATGGGGCTGGCCAACAAAAGCTTAAAAGCCCCACAATCACTTCCTGGTGTCCCTTTAATACAGCTGACTGGGTCCTGCCAGGAAAGAAGATGGGCACCCTCAGCCAGTGATCGTCTGGAGAAGACAAGTGGCTACTTCAGAAGAAGGGCCAGGAAGTATTACTTAATCCACCCCTACAGGAGGAACATAACTTCCCCCAAGACCGTGATGGCTACCCTACAGTTTGTGATCTCTTTGCCTGTATGAAACTTAGAAGTCGAGAAAGAGAAGTGATTATATCAAACTCCTCTACAGATGTAAAGGAACAGACAAGAGTTCAGCAGCTTTTCTGCAGATTATTACACATCCATGAGCTGAGTGACTGTGGCTTGCCAAATCATTGTATTTCTGGGTCTGACCAGTTAGCTTAGTCCCTTTCCTGCCTAAATTTGAACTAGTGAAGCAAAATACATCATTGGATTATGAGTTACCATTTAAACAAAAAAGGCTGAGGTGACTCAGTTCTTTCCTTTTGACAGAAGTATTAATTCACTCCATTCTAGAAATGTAGCACCTTGGTGGAGTTTTTCACAAGCCTCCCAGGCTCCTTAGATTGGGTTATTACTAAAAGTACATTAAAACACCATAGTTTTAAAAAGGAAGTATTTCTGTAATTGAAGTGTATTCTAAAGCTAGCAAACTTCCCTTTTAATTGCCCCTTAGCTGCTTCTCTTGCTGTGTTTTCTTTTATTAGAGGCTGAAATAATTTTTCTGTTTGATTAATATATATTTTGCACAAAAAATTAATCCTGCCAGTAATACCAAAACATGTACTAATAATCCTGGTAATTTTTGACATTAATTACCAAACATTTTAGTCTACGTTAGTTTTACATTATTTTTCTTCTTCACTTGAAAGAAACTGAGTTACTGCAATTTTTTTCTTTATTCCTTTTTTCTAAATCAAGCTTGTCCAACTCATGGCCCACAGGCCCCAGGATGTCTTTAAATGCAGCCCAACACAAATTTGTAAATTTTCTTAAAACATTATGAGTTTTTTTCTTTTTTGCAATTTTTTTTAGCTCATCAATTATTATTAGTGTATTTTATGTGTGGCCCAAGATAATTCTTCTTCCTATGTGGCCCAGGGAAGCCAAAAGATTGGACATCCCTGCTCTAAATGTTATTAGAGTATCCAGTGAGCTCTTTTGGAAGGGCTCTGTATTAAGACCATTTTTCAAGGTAGTTTTAGACTCTTTTCAAAATACTCTATAAATCTATGTAGGGTTTAAAAAAGCCCCAGTGCCAACTAAGAGCAAATAGGTAAGACACGCTGGAAACGTAGTGTAGTACTTGAACCACTCACTATCCTAGGGATTATTGGTGTATCCTCTGTAAATGGAAGCTGAGCTTGACCCCTGGTACTTTTAACTAGGGATAAAGTTGTCCTCTCACTGTAAGCACAGCATACCTGTACCTCCAAAAGTACAATGCAGTGACATTTTAGTAAACAGGCTGCTTACAATACTTGTACCTTGGGATGTTCATTGAAGCTTTATGAAAACTACTGATGTTTTCTCAGTATCTTTAAACTCATGTCCATGCTTTAAAAAGTCTGCAAGAGAGAACTGGGTTTTATGTTTTAAAATTCTCTTAAGACATCTTCACCACTTTCCTGACTTTGAAACTATGAAGTTTCTCAACTGCCTATGTTATTGGAAGTACTTTTGGGAAAATGTCACGGTCGCACAATGTCACTGTCATACAGTTTCACTAAAGTTCTTTGAACCACAGCTGAAAAAGAGCTTTGTATTATTCCTTAAGCCCCACCCAGGTATCATTTAGAACTATAATAATAATAAAGATGATGCGTAAGAACAACTTAAGGACGGCTGGGCACGGTGGCTCATGCCTGTAATCCCAGCACTTTGGGAGGCTGAGGTGGCGGATCACCTGAGGTGGGGCGTTCAAGCCCAGCCTGACCAACATGGAGAAACCCCGTCTCTACTAAAAATACAAAATTAGCTGGGCATGGGGGCACATGCCTGTAATCCCAGCTACTCGAGAGGCTGAGGTAGGAGAATTGCTTGAACCCAGGAGGCAGAGGTTGCGATGAGCCGAGATAGCACCATAGCACTCCAGCCTGGGCAAAAAGAGCGAAACTCTGTCTCAAAAAAAAAAAAAAAAAAAAAACAAAAACTTAAGGAGTCTTTCCAGTATCTTAAGTTGCGGCTAACTTTGTAGTTTCTTTTTGGGGCCTAACACACTCTATTTTACATTATCAAAGTGTAATTTACATTTATCACTATGTTAATGAGTATGTACAAAATTCTTTTGCTTGGATGCATTTTGTACCTAACTCTGTTAAAAGCGTAACAGCCATTTAAATAAAAAACCTTCCTCAGAAGCTTCTCCCAATGACTGTCACCACTGCCACCTGTCCCTACCTTGAAGAGAGGCTGGGAAATGCATGATTTTAAAAGACTCAGAACAATGCCACTTCTACCATATAGGGAATCTGTACTGAAAGAAGGGGAGAACAGATATTGGGTAGATAATTACAAGTTTTAAACAAACTTCTAAGCTAAAGAGTCTCCCTTCAGGCCAAGTCATGCAAACATTGTGTGAGAGACACAGCTTAATCTATATTATAATTGATATATCTTACATGCAATGATAGCAATTCCAAAAGAGCTAGTAAACACATTGACTAGTGAATAAGACTTATAATTTTTCAGTTATTTTATTTTTGAAAAATATTTTCCCAAAGAGGTAAGGAATATGATGTAGACATAGGGGTTTCCAAGGGAGAGAATACAGTCACGGGTTCTTAGTTTCTGTTTCTGGTTAGGCCAGTAAAGCCTCTTCTTCATCCCTCTTTCCCACTTCTCATTAGAGACAAAAACGAAAAACTATGGCTTCAGGCTGCTAAAAGCCTAAAACAAAGAAGAGAAACAACAACAACAACAACAACAAAATAAGGCTGTTGGACAAGCTTGCTGGTCAGCCAAATCCTCTGTTGTTGTTGATGGCTACTTGAAGCGCTTCTTCCACTGTTTCCATTGTAGAATATTTAGGGAGGAAGAGGACACTGAAACATGTCAGTGCTCTCATAGGGTCTCTTTCATTCCAACTTTCAGGACAGCAAAATGTTATTTTCATATTCTTTAAATCTTTCGTTTGTAGTCTGTCAGTTCCTGTAAGAAATACTAAAAAGAAGAATAAAACAAGGCAATCTGTTTTACATGGAGACCAGAATCTCTTTACAGAGAAAAAAATTATTCACAAAACTTTATTGTGAGCCCATGTGCAGTGTCCTACATTTGACAGTGCATTGGGGATTGTATTAGAACAATGTCTGACACATAGTCACTGTCCTCAAGCAGCTTAAAGTCTGACTGGGAATATTAGATTCTTGTGAAGAAAAAGACACATAATAGCAAGAGAAAAGCTGTAAGGTATAAGACAGCCCAAGGAGGTGTCATGGAGTTAAGTGCCTCCCAAGTCAATGCTGTGCTTGAGAATAAGGAGAGAGAGCCAAGCTGGGATGACTGAGGGAATTTCCAAGAGTTCAGAATTATGCCAGATCTTTAAGGATGGAAAGGTTTAGAAAAGCAACAAGGAGGTAGGTGAGGTTCAAGGCAGGAGAAGGAACTTCAGAGAAAGGCCTGGAGGTGGGAAGGTGCAAGGTGAGCTCAGGAGTGTTCAGACAATGGGATTATTTGGTTGGAACAAAAATTTCCTCTAAGAGTTAAGACTGGAAAGGTAGGTTGGGCTTCTATTAAGTCTGAATATCTTCTAACATACATGTTATCCACAAAAATTAAAATAGAAGATAAATGTTTCTCAAAAGTAAGGAAATAGAAAATGAGAAAGTCATTAAGCCTAAAGATACAAATAAAATAGCTGTGTACAGTAAGAGCAAATACAGTATTAATAATATAGGAACAGTAAAAATTAGCCAAATAACATATCTTAGTTAATCCCATAAAGGCTGAATAAGTGAATGATGACAGGGGTACAGAAAGAAGGCTTGATATTTAGCTTGGATGAAGAAACAAAAACTTTAAAAGCAATAAAAAGGGATGAAATCACAGGGGAAAAGATCGCTTATATAATTAACATTTGTTTTTTGATGTTGGGACACAGAGGATGTTCAATTGGACTAGGCGTAGCTCTGACACTATGATTTGCTGCAAATTGTACCTATCATAAAGGAAATTTTTAGCCCATTAAAAAGACATATGATTACAGACCTATTCCTTGATATAATACTTACCAAGGAATTTTTTCTTTTCTTCCAGCGTCAGCTTGTGGAAAGCCTTCCAAAACATCACTATGGTGGGATGTGAACTGTTATATCCTGGTTCATAACGTGCATTCTAGAGAAAATACAAAAAAAAAAAAAAAGTTATTGAGGAAATAGGAAGGAAAATTGAATTTAATCAACTTAGACTTTATGATGTACCTTTTCAAATGTTTTCCAATCATAATCTGTATGTCCAACAATCACATCCTTCAGTTCTTCGGGGTGGAATAATTTGATAATGTCTTCGTCACACATTTTGTAAAATCCTCTCCGAAATTCTTCATAAACCGCCTTCACAGAGTCATTGAAAATGTAATCGATATACTTAGAAACATAGTCTCTCCTTTAATAAAACAAAAAGTTATTTCAACACTTACTGCAATATCCTGAACGAAATGGTGAGGGGCTAAAAATAAAAGCTAGAATACCTAACAGTTTTTGAGTACTCACCTTGTGCCATGGACTGTCATAGTTACTAGAGATTATCTAATGTAATTTTTTTTTTTTTTTTTTGAGATGAAGTCTTGCACTGTCACCCGGGCTGGAGTGGAGTGGCGTGATCTCAGCTCATTGCAATCTCCACCTCCTGGGTTCAAGAGATTCTCCTGCCTCAGCCTCCGAAATAGCTGGGATTACATGTGCCCACCACCACGCCCAGCTAATTTTTTTTGTATTTTTAGTAAAGATGAGGTTTCACCATTTGGCCAGGCTGCTCTCGAACTCCTGACCTTGTGATTTGCCTGCTTCGGCCTCCCAAAGTGCTGGGATTACAGATGTTAGCTGGCCCTAATGTAATTTTTATAACAACTCCATCATAGGCTGCTTATAACATATATAACTTAAATGTGAAAACACAGATTAAAGTCAAAGAAGGGAAAAAAATATTCTATGCAAACACCAACCAAAATGAATCTGGTGTAGCTATACTAAAATCAGAAAAACATGACTAGGATAGAAAAGTACATTTACTAATGACAACCAGGTCATATACCAGGAAGGTAAAACAATTCAAAAATTTGTTATGTGCTTAGTAATAACTTAACAAAACTTAAAGAAACAGTCATATCTACATGTATAGTATAGATGCTAATATACCTCTCCTGCTAACAGAAAAGCAGACAAAAAATTTTTAAGGACAGAGAAGATTCAAATACAATAAATGATCCAAGAAACCTATTTAGAATACTGCAACAAGATCTCTACATAGAAAACTACATAACATTTTTTCAAGAGTGACTAAAGACGAGCTAAACAAATGGAGATTCTATATTCATGGATTAAAGACTCTTTATTTTAAGATGTCAATTTTTCCCCAAAATTGATCTACAGGTTCAGTACAATCAGAGTTTCAAAAATTGAAAAAATAAAACCTGATCCATACACTGTATCTTACTAAAAAATCAATTAAAGTGGATCACAGATCTAAATGTGAGAAATAAAATGATAAGCTTCTAGAAGAAAATACAGGGGAATATATTCATAGCCCTAGGATAGGGAAGTAGTCATAAAATAGAAAACAGAAAAACACTAAGCATTAAGGAAAATATTGATAAAGTGGACTACATTACAATTACAAAGTTTGGCTAATCAAAAGACACATTTAAAAACTGAAAACACAAGCCACAGTATGTAAGAAGATATTTGCAGTACATATAACCAACAAAAGACTTACATCTAGAACTCTCACAAACTGACAAGAAAATAAAAAGCAACAGAAAAATAGACTAAAGATGAGGAATAATTATTTCTGAAAAGAGGATATCCAAATAGCCAATAAGCATATAAAGTGCTTAGCATTAGTAATCAGAGAAATGCAAATTAAAACCACAATGAAATACTACTGTATACCCACCAGAATGGCTAATTTTAAAAACACTAGTAATACTATTAGAGTGGACATAGAGCAATTAGAACTGTCGTACCCTACTGATGAAAGTCTGCCTCCATTTTTTATGTTTGCTTACTGACAGCTTTCAAGTACCACTCCTCCTCCTTTTTCCCCTTTTGCCTCCAAATCTGCACAGCACAGGCTCGCTCCCTGGGTACCCACTGATGGCTGTGTGACTTAAATTTCCCCACGCGTGCTCTGGGTTGCATGAGAACCCTAACCCTGGCCCCATGCCGGAACTACCATAAAAACTAAAGCCACCTGCCTCTCTCTTCACTTAAGCCAAACAGATCAGCTTGGATGCCTGTCCAGCTCTCCCCAGAAAGCCCCATTATGTACTAAACATTTTCATACTCTCTGGCACACATATGGCATCATCCATATCAATATCCAAATGAATTTCAGGAGGACTGATCCTGCTCTGCATGGAGCAAGGGGAAACCACAAGGCACCAAGCACTTCTCCCAGTTACATACTAACAAATGCCTGCACATAAACAAAACACATATACAAGAATGTTCACAACAGCATTATTCATAATAGTCCAAAACTTGAAATACACTATGTTGGTCAAAAATACTACAGATAGGCCGGGTGTGGTGGCTCATGCCTGTAATCCCAGCACTTTGGGAGGCCAAGGCGGGTGGATCACAAGGTCAGGAGATCGAGACCATCCTGGCTAACATGATGAAACCCTGACTCTACTAAAATACAAAAAATTAGCTGGGCGTGGTGGCGAGCGCCTGTAGTCCCAGCTACTTGGGAGGCAGGAGAATTGCTTGAACCCAGGAGACGGAAGTGAGGTGAGATCGTGCCACTGAACTCCAGCCTGGGTGACAGAGCAAGGCTCCATCTCAAAAAAAAAAAAAAAAAAAAAAAAAATACTACAGATAAACTGTGATGTATTCACACAATACACAACTATACAGCTGGAAATGTTATATTTCTTGATCTGGCAGTAATTACATAGGCATGTTTGCTTTGTAAAATTCACTAAACTGTACATTTATGACTTGTGCAATTTTCTGTTATATAGGTTATATTTCAATACAAAGTTAAAAAAAAAAAAAAAAGATTTAAGAAATCGTGGAAAAAGATGTGATGTAGGCCAGCATGCTTCCTAGAGATCTCTGACCAACTATCAAGGGAAGGTTCTATAATCCCAAACTCCATGGCTTTAAATGGCATTCCATAAGATGTTGGGAAGTCAAAATATCATAGTAACCTTTTCAACAAATACTTACTATGTGCCTGCAATGTACCAGGCACCACTGTAGACTACTCTAGGTACTGAATATACAGTGGTGAATAATACAGACCAAGTCCCTGCCGCATTCACTATCATGGGAAAAACAATGAGAAATAAATAAGCAAATAAACCCCAAAGGAAGGTGATGTGTGATATGAAAAGAAAAAGTAAAGCAGAGTGAGTGGATAAAGAGGGACAGATGTTGGTGCTGTAATTTTGGACAGGAGGAAATAGAAAGGTCTCTCTGGGAAAGCCATTTCCATTTCTTACCACAATATAGACTCCATGATATATACGTCAAAACACATACAACACACACCAACTTCTCTGCCTTAGCAAAAAATGATTAATGATAATGAAAAATTAAAGAGCTAAAAGGAATTTTTAGAGCTCAGTGAAATAAAAATAGTAAATATACAAACCAACTATTTCATTTTTTGTACCTACTTGTTAGTCTGGTTGACAATTATGCTACTTCCATTAGGAATTAAGTTTGTGTCGTTTCTGTCCCAGTGTACCTGTAACCACAAATGAACTCTCATAATATCTCCAACATAATTCTGAATAATCTATCATCAACAAAAACTCTTTGGAGCATACTTTTTAACAAGAATGTGTTAAAATGTATATTTTTATCATAAAAGCAAGGAATATACAAACAAAAAATTACACCCTATCATACTGAATAAAAATAAATTTTTTCAAAGCTTGAATTATCTTATTTTAACTGATCAAATTAAACAAATTAATTGGAAAATTGCTACATCTCAGTATTCACTTCATACAGCATAGACCCAGTACGGTAGATTTACAAAAATGGCCACGAATTCTTCCCATCCTAGTTCTCCTGCCCCTTTGCCTAGTGGCTTTGCAACACTTCCAATCAAGGGGGGAGGCTATCTCTTCAGCCACTGAATCTGGCCATGGCCATGTGACGTACTTTAGCCAACAGGATCTGAAAGAAGCAGAAGCATGTGTGGTGGGGTTTGCTATCGTTTCTTCTCTGTAATCCTAAGGCCACCATGTAAGAATAAAGACTGCAGTCTTGCTTCAAAAGCCACAGCTAGCCTATTGGAGAATGAGAGACCACAGAGAACAGAGACAAGCTGTTTCAGCTGATACCCTATAACCCAACCAGCCTGCCAATGACTGGGCATGTGAGTGACACCGCTGTAGACCATCCAGCCCAGCCAAGTCGGCCCAGTTCAGAAACCCACAAAATTGTATTTGTTCTTTTAGGGCACTAGGTTTTAAGGTTGGCTATTACATAGTGAAATCTAACTGACGCACCTAGATCATGATGAAGAACAATACCTTTTTCACTAATTTATTTCCAGTTTTTTTTTTTAAGTGAAAGTAGACATGTTTAGTTAAATATGTAAAGGGTTAATCAGATTAAAACTAATCTGTTATCTGCTTTTGTTACTCACATTAAAATGGATGTAAAATACTTCTTCAAAGTTATCACCTTCGTCATCCAGAAGTGTTTGCAAATTCCTAAGGAAAAAAATAATCTTGCTTTTAAAAACGTAATAACCATGATCACTAGACACAGCATCTAAAATAAATGTCAAATGTATAGCTATTCTAAGGTAGGAGGTCAGATATAGTTCACAGCACTTCTTTCTCCATGTACTGATAATCTAAACAGGGCCAGACCTCAACTAAACATGTCAAATTTAGGAAGCCTGTCTGCAATTCTGCAGGCTGCCTGCCTGCTTCACAGCTCTCTTCCCTTTACCCTAAATTCCCTACCTAATGATTGTAGGTTTCTATTTAGAAAAGGATTCTAACGTTCACTGACAGTGGAACTCATTCAAACTGGCGTAACCTTTATTGAATCTTTTGAACTTTACTTACAGAATAGGTCTCATATTAAATTTCAGGTATCAGTAACTCTGAGGTGGGTCAAAGGACCTTCTCTGCACCTCTTGTCCCAATATCATCAAGCTTAAGAAATACCTGAAATTAGACTACCTTAATAGTTTCAGGGCATTTGTGAGAATAGAGGTCACATCAAAATGGACAGTAACCAATTTTTAAATATTTCCATCCTATCATCCTATGATGCTTTATACATGCTTTTGAAATAACATGATGTCTCATTGTATTTGCTCATTCACTCAAATATTTATTCAACAAACATTTAAGTAACCCCTACCGTAGCAGGCATAGGGGATGTAAAGTTGAGACTAAGATATTACCGCCAATAAACTCTGGGACTTGAAGGTGAGGTATGCTGATGGGAGTCTCACCTACAATACAGTGAGGTATGTGCAGCCAGAGAACTATGGAAATCACATAGGCTTAAAAGAGCACAGTTACATTTTTCTGAAGGCATACATGACATTGGGAAAGGCCTCTGGGATAAGGTAGAATCTGAACTGATTTTTTTTCCCCACTGGATTTTTAGATTACTGTATTGTGAAGTAACGCACCATGTTTTATTCATTGTGGGTTGTTTTTGTGGGGAAGGAGGTGAATTGTTCTCCAGCTGTGATCCTGTGAAACTGAACAAGTTACGTGCTTCTAAAATACAATGGTGGGCCAGGTGCAGTGGCTCACGCCTGTAATCCCAGCAATTTGGGAGGCCAAGGTGGGTGGATCACTTGAGGTCAAGAATTTGAGACCAGCCTGGCCAACATGGTGAAACCTCATCTCTACTAAAAATACAAAAATTAGCCAGGCATGGTGGCATGTGCCTGTAATTCCAGTTACTCAGGAGACTGAGGGACGAGAATCACTTGAACCTGGGAGGCGGAGGTTGCAGTGAGCCCAGATCCCACCACTGCACTCCAGCCTGGGCCACAGAGTGGGAGACTCTGTCTCAAAATAAATAAATGAAATAAAATTCAATGGTAGAACAGGCATAGGATAGACATTCCCATTTCAAAAGGGAGTAATAGAAAGAAGAAAGGGGTAAGAGGTCCCAATTAAGTCCAAAACTCAAAACGGCATGCAACATTAAATCTTAAGTCTTGAGAATAATCTTTGACTCAATGTCCCACCTTCAAGACACACTGGGGTTGGGGTTGGTCTCCTAAGTTTCCAGGCAGCCCTACACCCATGGCTTTGCTGGGCACAGCCCACCTGGAGGCTCTCACACATTAGTATTGGGTGGTTGTGGTTCTCCCTCAGGCTGGAATGCACACTGGTGGCTCTTCTGGGGTCTCTAGAGCAGCCTCACTCCTATGACTCCATTAGGCACTGCCTTAGTGGGGGCTCTTGACAGTGGCCTCAACCCTGTGCCAGTTCTCTGCCGGCACCCCATGGCTCTGTGAAGTATCTTTTGATATCTAGGTGGAAGAAGCCAAGGCCCCACAGCTTGTGCACTCTGTGTGCCAGTAGAGATGGCACAGCCTGCCCACCATCAAGGTTTACCACCTGTGCCCTCTGATGGGACGGCCACTGTGACCCACACCATACCTGGGGCCACTGGGAGTCACACCTGGGTCAGCTGAGGAGCACTGTGCCAGAATGCAATGAGTAGGGACTTGAGGCAGCACTGGACATCAAATGTCCAGGTCCTGTGGGTACACAAAGCCACTCTTGACATAGTTCTGTCCTCCAGGCCTTGGCACTCAGGGCCTATGATGGGACTGACAGCCCCCAGTGATTTCCGAAATGCCTTTGGGGTCATTCTTCCATTGTCTTGATGAACAGCACCAGGCTTCCACCCATCCACACTAATCTCTTTATTAAAGAGTCACCTGGCCACACCCTTGGTGCTCTCTTCAAAACACGTTTGCATTCTTTACAACATGGCCAGGCTGAGAATTTCCAAATCTTTAAGTTCAGCTTTTTTTCTAATGATAAATTCCACTGTAAATAATTCTCCCTGCTTCCATTTTGGTATAAGCAGTCAAGAAAAGTCATATTGTTCCTTTACCACTTTGCTTAGAGATTGCTTCTGCCAAATATCCTATTTCATTGTCAAGAATCTTATTTTACACAAATACTAGGATACAACACAATTCAGCCACATTCTTCGCCACTTTATACAGTAACAAGGATCACCTCTCCTCCAATTTCCAGTGTGTTCCTCACTTCCATCTGAAACCTCATCAGAATTGCCTTTATTGTCTATGTTTATACTAACATTCTGATCACGACCACTTAGGTAATCTCTAAGAAGACCGAGGCTTTCTCTAGAGGTCTCCTCTTCTTCTGAGCCCTTGCCAGAACTGCTCTATAGGGCAATACACGATTTTTCTAGCATGCACCTCAAAACTCTTCCACTACTTACTCATTACCTAGTTCCGAAGTTGCTTCCAATACCACACTTCTTGGTAGCAAGAAGTCCCTTAGTCCATTTAGGCTGCTATAACGAAATACCTTAGACTGCGTAATCTATAAACATAAATTTATTGCTTATGGTTCTGGAGGCTTGGAGTACAAGATCAAAGTGCCAGCAGATTCGGTGTCTGAATCTAAAGGGAATAGGTGATGACCCATTCCTTTTCAATGGTGCCCTCTGTATCCTCTCATGGTGGAAGGGGCGAATAGGCTCCCTTGGGCCTCTTTCATAGGGGAATGAATTCCACTCATGAGGGCTCCACACTGGGGATTAGGCTTCAAAATATGAATTTTTGGGGAACACATTCAGATCCTGACAGCACCTTCCCTTCTGCATTTTTCTAACACCCTCCTGATGAACACAGAAGTTCTTTAATCTTATTGCATGAAATCTTCTCTTTAATGTTGGTACGTTGCATGTCTTGTTTAAGAAATCTCAAAGGTGAGAAATGTAATTCTCTTGTATTTTCATGATTTTTGCATTTAATATCTAAATCCTTCATCCACATGGAGGTGATTATCATGTATGGTATAAGACAAGGATCTACTTTCATTTTTTTCCCCAGACAGATACCACTTTTTTTTTCCAGTTCCATTTATTTAGTACTCCTATTCCCCTTGATCAAATATGTCACCTCTAATAAAGTTCCATATAGGCATGGGTCCATTTCTGATCTATCTTCTGTTCTATTGGAAAACCTATCATACTGTCCTAAATAATACAGCTTTCTAATAATTCCTTTGTTTTTGAGATGGAGTCTCACTCTGTCGCCCAGACTGGAGTGCACTGGCGCGATCTTGGCTCACTGCAACCTCCGCCTCCTGGGTTCATGTCATTCTCCTGCCTCAACCTCCCGAGTAGCTGGGACTACAGGCGCCTGCCACCATGCCCAGATAATTTTTTGTATTTTTAGTAGAGGCGGGGATTCACCGTGTTAGCCAGGATGGTTTCAATCTCCTGACCTCGTGATCCGCCTGCCTCAGCCTCCCAAAGTGCTGGGATTACAGGCGTGAGCCACCACGCCTGGCCTCTAATAATTCTTGATATCTGACAGACCAAGTTCTCCATCCTTATTTGCCTTGAGAATTATTTCTGGTTATTCCTGACCCTTTGTTCATCCATATAAATTTTAGAACCAGGTTGTCAAGTTTAATAAAAAGCCTCCTGGGATTAAAATTGAGTTTTACTGAACACAGAGATCACTGGTTCTCAAAATGTGAGCCAGACCAGCAATTATTGGGAATCTTTGGGCCTTTACAGAGTTCATGAGGTCAAAACTATTTTCATAACATTATTAAGATGTTATTTGCCTCTTTTCACATTCTGCTGTGAGTAAACAGAAGAGTTTTCAAAAGCTATATGATACTGTGGAATGCTCTGATAGCTAACAGATATTTGTGTATTCCTGTGTTTAAAATATTTAATTTCTAATCCTGTAAATACTGACAGATATAACCAACCTAAGTAAAAGCGCTTTGGAGTCAATATTTTTAAGAGAATCTTAAGACCTAAAAGTTTGAGAAACAAAGATACAAATATAAATATCTTTTAGTTCATGTACACTGTTAATTAAGTTTATCAGTCTTCTGAGGCATACAGATTATTTAGGTTATCTTCGATGTTTCCAGTAAAATAAAAATGACAAATTTATCTTCTTTCTAAATCTTGTGCTTTTGATTTTTTTTTTTTTCCTTATTAGTACAGTTAGTATAAATGATTAACAGACTCTGGTGCCAGACTGTGTTCAGATCATGGTTCTGCCATTATGGGGCCTTAAGCAAGTTATCTAATCTCTCTGTGTTTTAGTTTCTGAATCTGTACAAGAGGGATGATACTACTACTAGAATCATATTACTGTTCTTACTCTTTTTTTTAATTTGAGACAGAGTCTTCTTCTGTAACCCAGGCTGGAGTGCAGTGGTATGATCATGGCTCACTGCAGCTTCGACCTCCTGGGCTCAATCCATCCACCCGCCTCAGCCTCCTGAGGTGTGCCTCCTGGCATGTGCCAGCATGCCCAGCTAATTTTTGTTTTTTATTTGTTTGTTTTTGTAAAGATGAGGTCTCCCCATGTCGGCCAGGCTGGTCTCAAACTCCTGGGCTCAAGCAATCCAGTTGCCTTGGCCTCCCCGCAGTGCTGGGGTTACAGGGATGAGCCATCATGCCTAGCCTGTTCTTACTCTTTAAAAAAATAAAAATAAAAATCCCTGTAGTATTCCATTGCATAAGTATACCAAAAATATATCATTCCCTTAGTGAAGGACATTTAGGGAGTCTTTATATTATGAACTATAAATATAATGCATATTACTGTACACTGATCCTTGCCTGGTTATGTATTTCTGAAAGTTAAATGTCTAGAAGTAGAATTGTTGGGTTGAAAAGGCAAACATGTTTTGATTTTGCTAAGTCCTGCCACACTGTTCTCTGAAAAGGAGTACCAGTCTGTATTTCCACTAATAACACCTGAAATTAAAATGAAAGTTTTCAAGCGCTTGCTAATACTATACAGCATCAACACTTCAAACCACCGTCAACCTGAAGTATAAATTAGCCTCTTACTTTAATAGGCATTCTATGAGCACTGGTGAGATTGAAGACATTTTTATTGAGGAGCATTTCTATTGCTTCTTTCCCAGGTTGCCTTCTTGGATACTTTGTGAATACTTCTTATGGATGTGTAGGAATGCTTTACACAGCAAGGATATTAAAACCCTCCTACTGTTGCCATTTTTTGGTGAGGTGGTGGCTTGTCTTTTAACTTAGAGATAAGTTTCCATTTTAAAGGTGATGACATGAAACAACATTTAACATAAACATCACTAGTAGATTTTGCACCAAGGTGTATGTAACCTGTGCTCTGTGCATGACTATTCCTACACAGAAAAAGTTGAAATATTAATGCAAACACTGAAGACTAGTTAAGGGAATAATCAACATTTCCTAATTTTAGAAAACGAAATTATCATCCAACAATTCTTGTCAAAGTTAAAACTAGTCTGAAGTACCTAATGCTGCTGTTGAACATGAAAATATAATGAAGCGTGTGTACTTAAATATTTGCCTAAATATATGTTAGATAGAGTCCTTCCTCAGGAACTATGTTTACTTACTTTCCCAAATCAGGACTGAGTTCTTTCAAGTCTTCCAATGATGGCATTTGGTCCAAAAGTTTCTTAAACAGTGCCAGTGGGAAAGGGAGGTTGGCAACATTGCAATTGAACAGGGAAAGTCCACATAGAAGCCCAAAGAAGAAATACCTTTTCTTCTCAAATTTAGGCTGAAAAGCAAAAAAAAAATCTTAAAGTATTATGAGTTTTTACCAGTACAATGAAATATTTATATTAAATAAATCTTTGTTCCTCTTTCATAAAATCAAATCTCAAATTGAAAAATTTAAAGCCTGAGATAAGAATGTTTAGGGCTTATATTAGGTTGGTGCAAAAGTAATTGCAGTTTTTGCCATTAAAAGTAAAGGCAAAACCTGCAATTACTTTTGCACCAACCTAATATTTGGTCATTGAGTCAATTTAAATCCCTGCCACTCTCACGCTTGTAATCCCAGCCCTTTGGGAGGTCAAGGTGGACAGACAACCTGAGGTCAAGAGTTTGAGACCAGCCTGGCCAAATTGGTGAAACCCTGTCTCTACTAAAAACACAAAAACTACCCAGGTATGGTGGTGGGAGCCTGTAATCCCAGTTACTGTAATCCGCCGGGCTGAGGCGGGAATGGCTTGAGCCTGGGAGGCGGAGGTTGCAGTGAGCTAAGATAATGGCACTGTACTCCAGCCTGGGTGACAGTGAGATTGTCTCAAAAACAAAGCAAAACAAAAGAAACAAACAACTAAATAAATCTCTGCCACAGTTTTAGTTCCTAAAAGCATACCAGCAATAAAAATACATTAGGTTCAGTAATCCTTATAAACTAGTTTTCACAATTTCTTTCCACAGCCTTTGTCTTCAAATTCACTGGGGAAACAGAACTGACACAAAGAATGACTACCTAAAAAAAAGAGGGTTCCTTTTTAATCCATGCATTATATAAATGATCAAAAAAACACATTGCTTGAGTTCTATGTGGACAGATATGGGAACCCAGGAAAAGGAAACTCCATTTTAAAAAAATAATCACCTTATTAGAATTATAGATTATCTCCACAATTATATCCATAACTCCTCACCTAACACGAAACAATCTAGACAAACTAATTTTCTATGTTTTAAGATGTACTTTTCTGTCACAAAATACCTTAAGCGAAGAAAAGGGAACTTACCCTGACAGGAAACCACATGCAGGAAGCCCCTTCAGGATACATGAACATCCCATATTCTGGCTGGATCATCTCTTCAAACAGACAGTAGAAGAACTCTCTCTTAACTCCTATAAGGTCATACCCAATTTCTCCACTAAATGAAACCTGAGGAAACACAGCAAATAATACATCACTTCCAGGGCTCCATTTTGCTATACATGAAGTCTCATTTAATAACAGTAAATAGTTAACATTAATTGTAGACCCAAGTATTTGGTAGGCACTGAGTAAGTATCCTACTTATATATTGTCATATTTAAGCGCTACATTAATTCTATAAGATAATGCGGCCTCAAGAATTTAAATAACTTTTCTAAGTTTATACAACAGCTAGGTGGTGCAGCCTATTTTTTTTTTTTTTTTTTTTTTTTTTTGAGATGGAGTCTCACTCTGTTATCTAGGCTGGAGTGCAATGGTCTGATATTGGCTCACTGCAACCTCCGCCTCCCGGTTTTAAGTGATTCTCCTTCCTCAGTCCCCAGAGTAGCTGGGATTACAGATATGCACCACCACGCCTGGCTAATTTTTTTGTATTTTAAGTAGAGACAGGGTTTCACTGTGTTGGCCAGGCTGCTCTTAAACTCCTGACCTCAAGTGATCCACCCACCTCGGCCTCCTGAAGTGCTGAGATTACAACCATGAGCTGCCACACCTGGCCTACAGCCTAAATTTAATCCTATGTCGGTCAAACCCCAGAGCCTAAAGTTTTTACCACTAAACTGACCTCAACTGGCATCACTATTATAGTCATCAGATCCAAGTATATATAATAAAAATAAACAGAAAGAAATCATAAAAATCGGCCGGGTGTGGTGGCTCACACCTGTAATCCCAGCACTTTGGGAGGCCAAGGTGGGCGGATCACGTGAGGTCAGGAGTTCATGACCAGTCTGGCCAACATGGTGAAACCCTGTCTCTACTAAAAATACAAAAATTAGCTGGGTGTAGTGATGTATACCTGTAATCCCAGCTACTCAGAAGGCTGAAGCACGAGACTCACTTGAACCCGGGAGACGAAGGTTGCCGTGAGCCGACGTCACACCACTGCCCTCTAGCCTGGGCAACAGAGTGAGACTCTGTCTCATAAATAAACACATAAACAAAAAAAAAAATTCAGGATGTTCAAAAAACCAGAGCACACATAAGGTGTTTGCTGAAGTGGCTGTCTGCTCCCTGAGGCTGCACCCCTACTGCTGACACCAATCCCTCCCAAGAGGATGCTATCATAACCCATCTTTGCTCCTTCAGTTACCCCTCCATTCCTGCCTTTTCTTGGAATCTTTCACTTCCATTTACAAAAATATTAAGGTCCCCCTTAACCTTAAAAGGAAAAAAAAATCCCAACATATTGCCTCCAATACAGACAACATGGGCTCCTTCTACTCTTGCCAAACTTCAGAGATACACGCCAACTTCCAAACCCACTTCTCCACTTAAATGGGTCTCTCCAAGAAGACCAAGAACTGTAAATCGCCAAGCTCCAAGAACTTTTTCTCATATCTCATCTCCTTGATTTCGTTAACTCATTTTCCACTTCTGATCGTGTCCTTTTTCTTGACAGACTCTTCTCCCTTGCTTTCGCTTATGAAGCACTCTTCATGGTTTTATTTCTGTCTTCTTTTTCCTGCTAGTTTAACTTCTAGAACCAGAATTGCAAACAGTTCTATCCTAACACTTCTGTCCTTTCTCTCTGTTCTTTCCCTGGAGGCTCATTTTCTCTGTAAACTTTGTTTACCACTCGTAGATATTTAACCTTCAGATTTAGTGTATTTTCTCTCCTGACTGACAGTCACTTCCAAAGACCTGTTCAACATTTCTACCCAGATGTTCTACTAGCATCTCCAGAAAGCTCCTCTTACCAGTTTCTTTATTTAGATGCATGCCTCTTCCATTCCTCTTGGTGAAATATTAAAAATCTCTGTAGCAAGACCAAGTGTCAAACCCTTCTCCCTCTTCTTACTAAGGACAAGCTGCCTGATCTCATAAAGCCTGTTTTCCCACATGATTATCAGAAAGATTACAGGGGTCATACATGTAAAATACCTCACACAGAGCCTGCAGATGGCAAATGCTGTACCCACATTTAAAAACTGGATGAACGATATATAAAAGTGGAACTCAAATAATCGAGTGGACTAACTGGCAAAGGATAGAATCACATAACGAGTTTATTAGAGTTATACAATTATCTGTGTGCAAAAATACCTGGAAATGCCAACTTTAAACTGCAATATATATATTTTTTTTCCTTGAGACAGAATCTTGCTCTGTTGCCCAGGCTGGAGTACAGTGATGCAATCTTGGCTCACTGCAACCTCCACCTCCCGGGTTCAAGTGATTCTCACGCCTCAGCCTCCCAAGTAGCTGGGATTACAGGCACCTGCCACCACACCCAACTAATTTTTGTATTTTTAGTAGAGATGGGGTTTCATCACGCTGGTCAGGTTTGTTTCGAACTCCTGACCTCAGGTGATCTGCCTACCTCGGTCTCCTCAAGTGCTAGGATTACAGGCATGAGCCACTGTGTCCGGGTGCGATATGCTTTTACATCGGTATCTTGAGACTTAGTAAAGTCAATCTTTCTTTAATCTGAGTAGAAGTGATAAAGTAGGGTCCCCAATCAAAAATACTCCATTTACTAATATTATCAGGTCAATCTTTATCTGTCTTGATTAAGCAGAAAGTCTAGTGCCTAATGGCTGGGCCCAAATCCTGGCTCTGATGCTTATCAGTTGGGTTACTCTTGGATAAGTTACCTAATAGTTCTGTACCTCAGTTTCCCCATCTGTAAAATGAGGGAAAAACAGAATCTGCCACATAGTGTTCCTGAAAGGGTTAAAAAATTAGGTACAAAGCACTTACAACAGTTCTTGCCACAAGGACAGCACTCAAAAGATCTACTGGTCATTATGATTTGGTATCAAATATTTACTAATAAGACAAATTATATGGTAATTAAAGAAAAAATCAGTTACAAGATCTTCCGAACATGGTCAAATCTGCAATTATACCCCAAAATAACTGTGGGATTTTAAGAGAAAGTTCTCTTTTCTACAAAGCAATTTAGGTTATTATTATTTTCGGGTTTTTTTTTTTTGAGACAGAGTCTCGCTCTGTCACCCAGGCCAGAGTGCAGTGGCATGATCTTGGCTCACTGCAACCTCTGCTTCCTGGGTTCAAGTGATTCTCATGTCTCACCCTCCCGAGTAGCTGGGATTATAGATGCCCACCACTACACACAGTTAATATTTGTATTTTTAGTAGAGACAGGGTGACCAAGCTGGTCTTGAACTCCTGACCTCAGGTGATCCACCTGCTTCAGCCTCCCAAAGTGCTGGGATTACAGGTGTGGGTCACCATGCCTGTGCCAATTTAGGTTATTGCATAAGAAGAGAAACAACCCCTTAATTCTCCTCTATGCTAACCATCTCATTGAAACCCTTCAAGGGTGGTGCTAGCCAGGCTAGGCCAGACCTCAGAAGGGACTGTACCTCTTAGGGCCAACACTGAACTATCTATCTGAGCAGGGTGTGGGGAGAACAACCACTTTGCCTGCTGTTCTTAGCCCAAACATGCTCAATGAGTGCCCACAGCTATCACCCAAAACTCAAAGGCAACTAGGGAATCAGAGGAACCCTAAAATAAACAACCTCTGTGGCAAAGGAAGATAACTTCCTATGAAACCCTTTGTTACTTTTTTTTTTATGTTTTTCTTTTCTCAGCATCAAAAATATTAAGTGAGAATTACACTTCACCCATAACTCTTTCCTCAGGTCTTCATTCTCAAATTGACTTAGCTGATTCAAAACATCCTCAATCAGGTGATTCCTTCTGACTGTTAGATTAAACGTGGGCATCAAAGCGAAATCAGACTCTCTTTCTTCCTCAATTGCTGCCGACATAAGATAAGCTTTATGTTTTTTACCCTAGGAAAACAGAAACAGAAATATTACACTTTATTTTACCATTGGCCCTCTCTAAGTAAAAATTTGGAAAGCAGAATAAACTGGTTCTGCTTATAAGTGCAGGTCACCTTTATGAAAAGAACCTTATATGCACCACTGAAGATAAATGATAACATACAGGGACCTGAAGAATCGAAGCCTTTGTGGAGCCAACCTGGATGAGCAAGTAAGTTACCAACTGCAGGTTTTATCAGACCACTTTCTCCTATACACACAACTACTAATGCATAAGATACCAAAGCTACTTATTAACAAGCTGAGAGATGTATTGGTATCCATTGAAACAGTGCACTGCAACATGATGCTTTCTCATTCAGAAGAGAAGTTCAGATGCTTAGAAAGCAAAAAGGCTGCAGGAAAATAATCCAGGTGTGAGAGATGTCACCAAAGAGCCTATTCCAAGAAAAAAAACCTAGACAAGAGATTTTAAGGGAGAATTTACCTAAGAAGTTAATCGAAGAGAGACAAGCGGGGAAAGAGAGAGGGAAAGATGGAGAGACAGACAGAATGTCCATTCAGAAACCAAATGGCAATTTTAGGTCACCGAAGTCTATGGTTCGGGGCCGGGTGCAGTGGCTCACACCTGTAATGTCAGCACTTTGGGAGGCTGAGGTGGGCGGATCACTGGAGGTCAGGAGTTCGAGACCAGCCTGGCTAACATGGTGAAACCCTGTCTCTACAAAAAATACAAACATTAGCTGGGTGTGGTGGCAGGTGCCTGTAATCCCAGGTACTTGGGAGGCTGAGGCAGGAAAATCGCTTGAACCCAGGAAGTGGAGGTTGCAGTGAGCCGAAATCATGCCATTGCACTCCAGCCTGGGCGGCAGAGGGAGACGCTCTCAAAAAAAAAAAAAAAAAAAGCCTATGCTTTTAGCAGAAAAAGGAGTAGTCAAATATTACTTCTACAAAATTATCTCTGGAACCTTGTTTAAAATCAGGAGAGAATAGGTTGTCAGAGCTGAAGCAAAACAAAGTTCTTTCATCTTTTTTTCTTTGATTTCCCTTTGTTAAATATTTCATTATCGTCATACTCAGAACTCATAAATCAATTTCCCATTTTTATTATGGTAAATGCATTATATTAAACTATCTGCTTTAAGGACATATATTTGAATGTTATACATACATATAACATATGTCTGCATATGTAAAAGTGATAATAATACCCAACCCTTTCGGTACTTTGTGTGAGGCAGTTTTAAATGCTTTACCTGTATTAACAAATTTAATCCTTATAAAATTGCAATGAGGCAGGGATTATCTCATACAATTCCTTGGGAATTTTCAATTGCCCGATTTTACTACTTTGGCAGTAAAATATTTTGTTAACATTTGATAAGATATCCATCCACTTTGCTGGATGTAGCTACAAACATAACCACCTCAGTTAGTAACAGTACCATATATAGAAAAGGGGGAATCTGTACAAACCTCTATTATGGCACCATCACAGAGTAGTAGCCATTTATTGGGCTCCTAATTTCAGGAATCCTCGGCCACCTCTATTCCTGCTACCATATCTTTTCATTAGATTGTGCCTCCTTACATAGGTGCTAGTCAAGCCCAAGTCTGTTATACCTCTTTGAGTACTATTCAGAAGACTACAGGCTGCCACTGCCAACTTCAGGTAAAAACCCAACAACTAGGCCAGTTGACCAAGCTCCATCCCTTGCTACCAAGGCCCTAATTTGCCTTAAGGTGAAGATGATCCAAATTATGACAGTCTGCCGCCTTGCCTTCTTCATTAGAGTGTAAGCTGCTTGAATGCCACAACCATTGGTTTCACTGGTAGGTGGTTCTCTTATCACCCCCAAAATATTGCATGATTAAGAAGGCACTTAGCATGTGATTTATGCTAATGAAGACAAATAGGCATACATACCTCTATTTTTAAAAGTGTGTCTGTATGTAGTAGTTTAATTTTCGACAGATGATTAAAGATAAATGGAAAGCGACTGAATATGACCCAGCATCCTGCATTTTCTGAAGTGTCCTAAAAATGGAAATGACAACAATTCTGATAAGTTAAAGGACAGAGAAACCTTACACTTTACCTCACAGCCTTACATCCCTGATGGTATAAGGTCTCAGTACTTCCAACAAAAGCAATCCAAATTACTGGTCCATAGTACTAGTAGTAGAAAATGTGTTTTATATGTATCAATGAAAGGTATATAGAGAATGTTTAGTGCCCATTTAATTTAGCAATTAATTATACTCTTTGGATGCTTTCCCAAAGACTCTGTTCTGCTGAAACCTGAGTTTCTGCCATGTGAATAAGCTCAGTTGCATTTGGTAAACAGAGAATGATATAACATGGGTAGCTGGTTAGCTCACATATGAATTTTGCTGGGCAAGAGTTGATGTGCTAGAAAGAGAATTATAACCTTCAGAGAAAGAAAGAGAGACTTCGGGCCAGCTGCTACCTTGGCAGTAGGAGCCCTTCAACTGTATTTTCAGAAAATAAAAAAGGAGTGCTTACATCCAAGACACTCTACCCACAGGTCTTGGCTCTTGACTCCTAATGAGTCTCACTGCCTTCTATGACCACTTTAAGGGTATCAGAGCTCCACTAGTCCTTCTCCAATTACAGTGTAGATAGATTTCTACCCTTTCCTTTTTGTGCATTTTTCATATTCCCATAGTCATCTCCCAAGGTGTCAATCATTTTTCCGCTGGAACTCTGACTACAAAATTGCATAGATTTTGATTAGTCTTAATGTTTCCCACAAGCCCTGCTATTTCTATTGTGCAATTTTGCAGAGGACAAGAAATGCCTATATTAACTCACTGATTATCAATTTCCCCCTTTAAACATGCTATACCTACCACAGTCATTTTCCACAAGCACCTTCTGCATACTTCTACAAAAAAATTGAGACGGTACAAGAGTTCGTCTACTTGGAAAATACTTTCAGGTAGTTGACATTTCATCTGGTTTACCTTAAATAAAATATGACTTGTGAAAAAGTTTTATATTTAAAGACAATTTTGCTTAATAGCTGTTAATTAGATTATCAAATTAAATTGTAAATGAAACACCCTTATAATGACCAGAATAAAATTCTATTCAATTCCTCCATTGCCAAAGCCCCAAATTTTCATGAACATAAATATCTAAGATTTAATAGTAGAGATTGATGATATAATGATAAACTTCTAGTTATTTTTAATTCATAGAAAAATTTTAAAGAACTTTCAATCCAAAGAAAAAAAAACAACGCAATATCCCAAAGTACTCTGGGGTCCAGTTCTTCAGGTCTTAGTCTTCAGGACTTAATAATATACCACCTTATAGACATTCACTCTGCTGAGGCATTTGTGGAACATTCCCCTACCGAGAGGAAATTTTCCAACCCTCCATCCCATATGATATGATCAGGGTTATTATGACTATTATGACAGACACATGAACACCCTGGCATGTCATGAAGACAATGAATAATAATGACACTAGACACTTCGGGAATTAGTGACTGTTAGTATTTGACTTGGATGGGCGTTATCCTGAAATAAATTACTCTCAGGTGGTCTTCTAAAAACTCATCTTGGCTATATGCACTGAAACCATGTGTCTAGAATGTTCTTATTGACTCTCATCCAGACCTCAAATATTCCAGGCCTCCCAGTACTACCACCCAAAGCCTGGTGAGACTGTTTCACCCTGTAACTATGGCTCTCTGGATCTGATGATCTTGGCCTTGCATTATCATTATTAGCCTCAAGATATCCAGAGTCACAGAGAAAATGGGTGCTTCATCTTCATGGTTCCTGGTGGCCTCCTGCTGAGGTGCGGAGCCTGACAAATATCAAATATTCTGATGTTATCTATAGGGTCAAAGGACAAAGCGGGATCCCCTGAAGATTTCTTTTGTTGCTGCTTCAGTATTTCTTGTGATTCTCTTTGTAAGTAGCAAAAGCTTGTTAGAATACACCTTCCCAGAGCTCTTCAATAAATTTCTCATTTTTTCAAAACACAAATTATTTGTCATTAGCCTTTCCCTTTTGTAAAATAAAAAATATAAAACTGTTGAAAATAGCCATTGTTTTTCAATAATATGGCAGTTTTTTTCTTCAACAGTATGATATATTAGGTACCCGGATCCACTGAAAACACCTAGAAATACAGGAAAGGCTGTAACACATATGTTTAAAGGCATTACTGATTTTTTAGGTAGATGGAATAATCAGGTCAAAAACCAAATGAAAGTGGCATTTGCCTTGAGAGCATCTGCCCAACCTGGTGAACGTAAACTTCAATTTTCAATGGTTGGGGCTTTGGGGAAAGGAGGCAAAGCCCAGACTGTTCAAATTAGGGAGTCCATAGGAGAAGTTATCCCCACAAGTCTGAGACCCAAAAGGGTTAAACCATCAGGTAAGGATGAACTAGAAATGAATAAGCTCTTTCCCCCACTGCCATATCAATCACTCTACCTCCACCTTGACCCCAGGACCACAAGGCAAACTGTTCCAAGTTCAAATGGTGCTGAGCTGGGGAAAAATTGTCCCCTATAGGATCTATAATTACAAAAGAGCTCTCCCTCAACTTTACCACCAAATTCTAAAAAGCTTCAAGCCAAAAATGTAAAGTACTACCAAACTGGTGGTATCTCCAGGAGCCTGGCAGAAGAAAATTCTCTGTGAAGAAAGCCAGTCTTCAGGTAATTCCAAAAGATAAAGTTCCAAGGAAAACGGACAGCTCTCACACATACACAAATCACAAAATACATGAGGATAAAGACACCAGGAGGAAGATTCAGCAGAAACTGACCTGCAAAGACTTCAGATACTTGAGTTATAAGGCATATATATTCAGATAAATAAAAGGGAAGTGTGAAAAGAACAAAGAAATTATAAATAATGAGCAAATTATTTACAATTTAAAGAACAAATTCGAGTATCTAGAAATGGAAAACATTAATACTTGAGATAAAAACTTAAAAGGTAGTATTAACCGCAACCAAAATCACTGAAAAAGGAATTCATGAACTGGAAGACAGGGCTGAAGAAATACCATCCAGAATGGGGTACAGAGAGACAATGAGACAGAAAATATGACAGAAAGCTTAAGGGACATGCCAAATAGACTGAGAAAGTCCAACATATCAATAACTGGAATTTCAAAGAAGAGAGTCAATATTCAATTAGATTTGAAATGTGGAACAATTTCTAAAAGGAGGGAAATACCCTTAACCTACAAAGGTTATTTTCAAAAACCTAATAGAAGGCCAGGCACAGTGGCTCATGCCTGTAATTCCAGCACTTTGGGAGGCCAAGGTGGGAAAATCACTTGAGGTCAGGAGTTGGAGACCAGCCTAGGCAACATGACGAAACCCCATCTCTACTAAAAACTCAAAAATTAGCCGAGCGGGGTAGTATGTGCCTATATTCCTGGCTTCTCAGGAAGCTGAGGCACAACGATAGCTTGAACACAGCAGGCAGAGGGTGCAGTAAGCCAAAATCGTGCCACTGCACTCCAGCCTGAGCAACAGGCTTTTTTTTTTCTGTCTCAAGAAAAAAAAGAAAAAAAAGCCTATAGGGCTGGTGTGGTGGCTCACCCGGGTAATCCCTGCACTTCGGGAGACCAAGGCCAAGGCAGGAGAATCACTTGAGGCCAGGAGCTCAAGACCAGCCTGAGCAACATAGTTAGGCCCTGTCTCTCCAAAAATGAAAAAATTAGCTGGGCATGGTGGTGCATGCCTGTAGTCCCAGCTACTCAGGAGGCTGAGGTAGGAGAATCGCCTGAGTCAAGGCTGCAGTGAGCCATGACTGCACCACTGCACTCCAGCCTGGGCACAGAGTGAGATTCCGACTCAAAACAACAACAACAAACCCCTATAAGTAAATGATACTAAAAGCATTTCCTTTGGAAACTAAGAATAGTCCATGAAAAAAAATTTCCTTTAAAATCACAAAGAAGTACTCACTTTTACCCCACCTCTATTTAACATCATATTAGAAGCCCTAGCTAGAGCAAGACAAAGGAAAATAATAAAATATATATGGACTGGAAAAAGAAAACATTATAAAAAATTCAAAATTTTGGCAAATTTGAGAATTTGGCAAATTTGCTGAATATAAGAATCAATACTCAGGCCAGGTACAGTGGCTCACACCTGTAATCCCAGCACTTTGGGAGGCAGAGCCAGGCAGATCACTTTAGGCCTGGTGTTCGAGACCAGCCTGGCCAACATGGTGAAACTAAAAATACAAAAATTAGCCAGGCATGGTGATGCGTGCCTGTAATCCCAGCTAATTGGGAGGCTGAGGGAGGAGAAGCACTTGAACCCAGGAGGTGGAGGTTGCAGTGAACAGAGATCACACCACTGAACTCCAGTCTGGCCAACAGAGGGCAACTCTGTCTCAGAAAAAAATAAAAAAAAAATTAATATTCAAAAATCAATGCATTCCTATACACCAACAACAGACAATATAATTTTAAGATACTATAATAGTGTAACAAATGCAAATGTCTTGGGATATATTTGACTAAACAGACTTTAATAGTAAAATAACAAAACTTTACTGAAAGACAACCAATAAGTGGAGAGGTAGATGCTATGAAGATTCACAATAGTAAAGATGTCAATATAGTGAAACACAGAAATATAAATAATTAAATATAGATTGCATGTAATTCCAATCAAATTCTCAATAAGACTGTGTGTGTGTGTGTCTCTGTATATAACCTGACAAGGCAATTTAGAAATATATATGGTAAATTTTTAGCAAAATTTATATGCCAAAAATATTCAAGACTCACTTCAGAAACAAGGCTAGGGTACTTCTCTTACTAGATATGAACAATTAATGTACAGCCATACAAAAGGACCCATGGTATAGTGGACTCATGGTACAAAAGGACCCAAAATTGAAACCCACACATGGAAACTTGATGCACAACAGTTTGTATTGCCTATCAATGGAGAAAAGGCAGCATTTCAATAAGTGGTGCTAGGGTAACTTTTTCATATTAAAAATAATAAAAATAAATTTACAATAAGTTTCTAATTGCATTAAACAGTAAATTGTGAAATGCAAAGCTAAAGTCAGTATTTCCTTTAGACCTGGACAAGAGTGTCCTCTGCCCTAGGACCATGGTTCTTGCAGTGGCTCTCCTCCAGCCAAGCCTCTTCCCCCAGAATAAGGGGTCTGCAGGGCCAGGGGGATCTGTCTATTTTCAGCCCACACATCCCCTTCTAGATTGGGCTACATATACCCAGGACCTGGGATTCCATGTTCAAATGGTTCCAGGCCTGCTTCTGGCACAGGCCTCTCCACTTGCTTGGTCTCTAGAGAGTGAACTATGTCACAACTGAGACCCTCCAGCCTCAGGGTTGGCTAAGGAGGGTCTATGGTGGGAGGTGGGATAGAACTCAGACATATGGGCTGAGGTGTCCACATATGGGCATGTGATACGCCTTCTGGTGTGGGACAAAACCAAGAAGAAAAGAAGAGCAGAGGGCTGCATTTAAGCTACCACTTCTCTTTTCTTTTTTTCTTTTCTTTTTTTTTTCTGAGATGGAGTCTTGCTCTGTCACCCAGGCTGGAGTGCAGTGGCACAATCTTGGCTCACTACAACCTCTGCCTCCTGGATTCAAGTGACTCTCCTGCCTCAGCCTCCCAAGCAGCTGGGATTACAGGAGCGCCCACCACACCTGGCTAATTTTTGTATTTTTTGTAGAGACGGGGTTTCACTATTTTGGTCAGGCTGGTCTCGAACTCCTAACCTTGTGATCTGCCTGCCTCAGCCTCCCAAAGTGCTGGGATTACAGGCATGAGCCATCAAACCCAGAAAGCCGCCACTTTTCAATGTAGAATTTTAAGAAGACTGAGATTTCTAAATTCAAACCTGGCCTCCCCTGTCATTATGAAGGTTTATTTGTCAAAGAAGGAGGACAGTGTATTTTATTAACAGTTTGTTAGACAGGTTTTTAACCTTTTAAATATCAGACATATGGTATATAGGCCTCCATTTATACTCTTCCTCTGGCCTTGGCTATTGTCCTCTTAGAAGACTACCTAGGGCAGTTTTAAAGACCTAATCTAGCCCTCTGTTATTTTTATAGTCTCACTGGTAACATAGCCATGACCATTCATTTTTGTATTGCCTGTGGCTGCTTTCATGCTACTCCTGAAGAGCTGAGTAGCTGCAGTTGTGACAGAAACCACATGCCGCAAAAAGCCTAAAATATTTACTATCTGGTCCTTTCCAGAAAAAAGCTGCCAACCCCTGATTTAGGGTAATAATTTAAAACCTTTATGGGAGAAAAAAAGCTTAGAACAAGACACAAGGAGTAAAATTATATAAAGAAATGGACGGACAAATTTATCTACATTAAAATTAAGAATGTGAGTTTGCCAAAAAACGCCGTAAAAGCAAAAGACAAACTATAACTGGGATACACCATTTGCAACACATATCACTGACAAAGAAGTAGTATCCAAAATATAATTCTTATAAGCAGTAAGAAAAAGTCAAATATTGGCCGGGCACAGTGGATCTTACCTGTAATACCAGGACTTTGGGAGACTGAGGTGGGTGAATCATTTGAGCTCAGGAGTTCGAGACCAGCCTGGGCTACATGGTGAAACCCCATCTCTACAAAAAATACAAAAATTAGCAAGGCATGGCGGCTTGCACATGTAGTCCAAGCTACTTTGGAGGCTGAAGTGGGAGGATCACAGGAGCCCGGGAGGCAGAGATTGCAGTGAGCTGAGATTGAGCCACTGCATTCCAGCCTGGATGACAGAGGGAGAACCTGTCTCGAACAAATCGAAATCCTTTACAGGAGAAAAGAAGTTTAAAACAAGACACAAGGAGTAAAAAGAAATGGATTGACAAATTTATCTACAATAAAATTAAGAATGTGAGTTTGTCAAAAAACAACATAAAGCAAAAGACTAGGATACCATATTTGCAACACATACCATTGACAAAGGAGTAGTATCCAAAATAAAAGAACTCTATAACCAGTAAGAAAAAGTCAAACATCATTTAAATGAACAAAAGTCAAGGACAGGCATTTCACAGAAGAGGAAACAAATACTGCAATTATGAACATGAAAATATGCTCTAGCGCATTTGAACCAGGGAAATACAATTAAAAACATAATTTGGTATCATTTTGTATCAAAAATATTTTCAAAATGGAGCAACGGGAATTCTCATTATCTCCTGGAGAGAATTTAAATTGGTCCAACTGCTTTAGAAGAGTTTGTCACTACCAGGAAAGAGCAACACACACATATCCATAGCTTATCAATTCTAGAACTAGGTATGAAAACCAGAACCAACTCTTGACAAAATAACACCAAGAGATATGAGCAAAAATGTATTATAGCAGCAATGTTTTCTCACAGAGGAACTCCCAACAAGACCAAAAAAAAAAAAAAAAACCACAAGAATTGCAAACAGCATATACATTTGTCAATATTGGAATGGATAAGCAAAGTATGGTATATTCATACAATGAACTATACTGCAGAGTGAAAATTAATGAAATATAGCCATAAGCATTAATCTGGATGAATCTATAAAACAACACTGAGCGTAAGAAGCATGTATTCCATTGACGTAAATTTTGAAAATACCAA